GCGCAGACAGGCTCCGAAGCAGAAACCACAGGCACCGTTGGTTCCTTTTCTTTCACACTCAGATTCCTCAAAATAGAGACTTTTTCTGAATTAAACTAAAGTCTGACTGTGAGTGTCTGGGCATATTTGAATAATATTTATTTTGCCAGTCAGAAGGCAATATGGGATCTAAAAGAGAGTTCTGAGAATAAGGTAAGGAGAGCTGAACTCTCTGAAGAACTTAGAATTGGCTGTTTATAAGCTAGGAGCCTTTGGGCAAGTCTGACCATTGTCATTGGGTACAATCTGCCTGTCAGTCCATTGAAAGGAGTTTTTGTGGGCATCAGGAGAGGCAACACCTGTGGCTCACCGCAAAGATCGGAGAACCGAGGCCCACCGTAGGTTTCAAGAAGATAATCTGGATCAATTATTGTTAGAATGGCAGGAGTTCTGGGCTAGAATACCTTCTGAAAATGAAAGTGGGTTAGTCAAGATGGTCTTTGCACACCTTCCACAAGAGCTTGGGGACAGTCATTTATTTTGGGGTCACTTTTGATTTCTGTGGACTACAATTGCAAGGATAAAAGTAGGAGTCACTGTATTGCTGGTCAGTGCTTTGCATATTCTGGCTTCCCATGAGTAGGGATAGGAGGTTAATTAAATACATCTCCCGGGCAACAGAAATGATCAAGGCTGCCCCTGGCACACAATTGTTACAAAAAGTAGGCTTTTGTTTCAGGGGAAAAAAAAATCTCCCATAGAGAAACATGGAACGCCAATGAGAACTATAAATAGGACTATCATTTATGTCAATTATAAATAGATTTGCTCTCTTTTGATCAGACATAATGCTAGCTGAAAATCTGTAGTGGACAAAACTAAGGAAAAACTCCCGACAAAATATTATTGCATGGTAGTAGATGTGATGCTTTCTCTTCCTAAGGAATTATCTCCACTCTTCCCTAAATGAACACCTTCTTCCCATTTGCATTTAGACTTCTGTTAAGTTTTTGAAGCCCAGATTTTGATTTTCAGTTAAGTTAATGAAGTCCAGTGTTCAAACTTCATCAGTTCCTTAGGCTCTCTCCTTTCTAGACAACACATACACCTTTCTCTAGTGGAAAGATTGAATGGATGGAATGTCCATGCTAAGAACTCAGGGAGGGCAAAACTTTCTCCCAAGACAGCCAGCATGACCCATTACACAAGATGCCTTTTTTGCTGAGGGAGAGAAATTCTTTAACGAGTTACTACAGGCATGTGGACCCCTAGTAAACACGTGAGAGCAGCAAGCTAAGTACCAAAGGGATAAAGGAAACCCTTAGTAGAGAAAAGGCCCCACTCAGAGGCTGTTGCTACTGAGCCCTGCTCAGATAGGGAACCATTTTTCTGTAGCTCAAGAGCAAGGGAAATTACCCAGAAGGATCCCAGCTCTTTGATTCTGGCTAGCCAACTCCTTGTCCTCTGCTCGTATCCATGACTCATCTCTTCCTGGGGCCAGAGAGAGCAATGGCAGCTTCCCATCAAGCTGTCTGCTAGGTTCATCCTGGGACGAGGGATTGTGGATGGAGCGGCACAGTGCTGCAGTCCTTTACCAGGCATGCTGGAAAGCACTGGAATGCATGTCTCCTCGCTGCTAGCAAGAAAGGATGGGAAGTATTGCTCTAGTCTACCCAAGTTGCCTTGGAAGCTTTCAAGTTGGGTTCTCCAAGGCCTGCCAGTGTGAAGGAAAAGATTATGGGTAGAGATGGCTGGAAGCAGATATGATGAAAAGGAGCTCCTCTGGGAAGCTGCTTCCTCGATGAAGTGGCTTCAGTGGGGGATGTTTTTAAAGAAACTGAACTTGTCAACTGGAAATTCACTGCCTGACCTGAGATTCAGGGGAGATTTCTGGAAAAATACTAATCAGGGATTTGGAAAGCCTAGGTCCCAACGCATAAAGAAATATATTGAATATTTTTAAAGATATAAAATTCTTAGAACCGCTGGACAGGTTTCTGTGTGTGACCGCTCTCTTCCAAGCGGCATTGCTCAACAGCCCAACTCCCATCAGAAGACTGACATCATGCTGTTGTGCAACTCATGGTGTCACTTTGCTAACTGCACTTGCTGTGCATCTGACTACTGAGAAGCCAGTGGCTTTAAGTTTTGAGTCAGAAGTTCTAAGCAGAATCATTCCTGTGAAACTTAAACCCTCCATTCTAAAAAGTCAAAACACATTTGGATCTTGTGAATTGAGAATGCCAGGGCCAATATTTTACCCCTTTAATCAAATCCCAGGAATGGCATGGTGGGTGGCTAAGGCTATGTTATCCCTTCTCCTTTCTTCTTCCCCTAAACTCCTTAGCCAAGATTCTCCAGGCTTGAAAGAGTACAATTAGGAAAGTAGCTCCCAGCCTGTGTGTTCAACCCTAAATCTTATTCATGGTAGAGCCGGACACAGTGAAATCAGGGGGCAGGAGCCTGAAAATACCAGTATGTTCCCAGACTAATAGAAAAATGGCAAATAGGAAAGGCTGCTTCTTCCCATTCACCTCTGCATTCCCAAAGACTTGGAATTCTGTCACAATCTGATTCTCCATCCAACACTAGCCTCTGACAATTGACTCCTTGATGGGTTGGATCTCTCCTCTGGCTGCATTTATGAACAATTTTCAAAATTGAAGCAATGAAATCCTTTTCCATACTTTAATAGGCTGGCTTGGAGTGTTCTTGGGAGCTTAAAGAGGAGTGTTGAGTCCTGGATTATTCACAATGTGCCAATGACCTTCAGTCTTGGTTAAGTCAGACATTGGCATATGCAGTTGATCATCTACTGTTAGTACTGATCTTGTTCATTCTGTGCTTCTGTCATCCTTCAGGGAAGTCTAAGAAAATCAGATGGATGAGTTCTCCTTTGCCCCTGGTGTATGTCCTCTCCTTGAAGTAGAATGAGTGAGCAACCCAGTATTCCCCAGGCTTCATGATATACTCTAGAGACTCAGCAATAACCTGTCTTAATGCTCAGTTTCAGGATGGGAGGTGTTTGTAAAGTGCAATGGTGTTTACGGTAGGCCTTGACAGGTAGAATTTTGGTAGAGTAATTCTAGACAGGGAAACTACCCCAGTGAAAAAGCACATAGACTGCAGGGTGCAGAGTGTATTTGCAGGCATATGAGACTATCTGTAGATGCTGGGTACTATGTTGGCAGAGATTAGTGGCAGATAAGCTCAGAAAGATAGGTGCCAGGATCCACTGCATGGGCGACCAGGGCCCCAGCATTCGGACCTTCTTCCATTGCTTTCTCAGTGTTTCTTATGTGCATTAACTTTTTTCATCATCAAACTGCTTTGTAAGAAGGGAGTCACTGTCAGCACGTCACAGGTAAGGCTCCTGAGGCACAGAGAAGCACACAATGTGCCTGATGACAATTTGTTTTCAATACAGCAAAACCAGGGTTTTAACTCAGGCAACTGACACAAGCACCCACACCTTTGCAGCCTACTGTTTGTAATGTGCCTTTATGTTTTGCTTTTTGTTCCATCTCCTCTTCGCTAGTAGTGAAAATACTGGGTAACTGTTAGGCTATGCTCATTTGTTCCTTGCTTGGGGGGAGATCTATTTCATCTGCAGAAACTGAGCTTTTCCTACTGCAGGCCCCTCTTTCTTTGTATACAGAGTGACTATCCCAATCATAGTTATAGTAAAGTATGTTCATCTGTGCACTCCTTCAGGCCAGAATTGATACTGTAGTCCTCTTTAAACCTTCAGAAACTGGGACAGTGCTTTGCATGTACAAAATGCTCAATTAACATTGACTGAACGGATTTGAAGAGCAGAGGCCATGAGCTGAGGCATGAAGAAATGTTCCTGATCTAACCATACCTCTTTAAGATCATCTTTCCAAAATCTAAACAAAACAAAACAGAAAACTAAGAAACACTGAACCCCACAGGGAATTCTCCCCACTCCTAAAAACCTAAAACCCATAACAAACAGTTTGGGAAATCATGATGTAGACAATCTCGGCCACAGACCAAACCCACTATTCCAGGTTTAGCCTTGCTTGGCTGCAAAAGAATACTGGTGGCAACAGAGCTTCCAGATGCACAAAATGGGGCCATGCATGGCTGATGCAGCTTACCACAGGCTGTGAGGCTCCAGGCTTTCTGAGAAGACTCCCTTCATCCTACTAAAGCTCTCAGCTTCTCAACCCCCAAAACTCAGACTTCCTGAGGGAGATTCAAAAACACCCAATTTAATTAAAACCTTTTATTTTTCACATTGAAGTCACAGGTTTTCACAGGGTGCAACGTGTTGCTAACCCAGCAATTTCCAGGCTAGACTATTCAGCAACACAGGTGCTGTTTTCCTTTTAGGGCCTATGTCCTTAAGTTGCTTTTCTGCATAGATGTCTCCAGGGGCCAAATTTCCCTGGGCAGGTTCCAGCCCAAGCTCTCTTCTTTTCAGTTAGTTCTTTTCTGGCCTAAATGATTTCTTTCTCCCATAGGTGAGGTTAGCTAACAGATAACACTATCTTTTTTTTTTTTTCAAGTATCCTTTTAACATTTACCATTAACTTATCTCCAATGTCAGAAGAATTGACAACAGCAGTAAGAACAATAGAATGATGTCCAATAAGCATATGTTGTGGTCTACATTATCCAATGGATAAGATTGACTTAGCACAGTTTCAGCATTACAGATCTGCAAAGTTTAATACTACATTACACTTGATATATATACGGATATATACAAACATTTACTGAGCACCCATTCCAAGACAAGCTCTCTCTTCTATATGATGCTGAAGCAGCCTGGCAGGGTTCCTGTGTTAGCTACTTAGAGTTTAGCCAGAAAGGTACAGATGTGTGGTGCTGGAGGAGACCAAACAAGAGAGTAAATGTTGTGCTCTAAAAGTACCTAAGAACTCCATGGTATATTCTACAGGCTTTCCTCCAGTTAAAATGTGCCTCTCAGCAACCTACCTGTTTCTGCTTCAGTAGGCATCATTACACACTCTAGAGTAACTAGCTTTGGATTCTTTATGGCAAAGAAACACACTAGGTCCAGGTTGGGCTCCTGATTGTTTTCCCTTTTAATCCCAGCCTGTAAGGCAGGGAACTTCAATGGTATGACTTTTGGGCTTCCAACTGTTTTCTTACACATTGAGACAGTACAGGTATGCCGCATTCTCTTGTCTTGAGAAGCCCCACAATTCCTCAAGTGTTAAAGAAAGGAAACCATAACGCATCTGTGGACGTGGATGTTGGCACCTGGATCTCAAATTTCTGGAAGTACTGGCTTCCTCCAAGTTCATTACTCATTCTGTATAAACAAACAAAGCAGACAATAAGAAACATTCAGTCATTATCACATTATTTGCTTGAGAAATACTGAAATGTTCTGTAGAAGGAAAATTAGCGATCTCATCTCAGAAAATCAAGTGCATCAAGATGTCATAGGTTCTGACACAATTTCACTGATGAGACCAATCTCCACCCATGGACCAGTTGGTCTATTCATAGAAGAGTATGGAGTAAACTGGCTAAAATAGGTGTAGGGAACCATAGATCAATTCTGTATATGACACTTGTGATTCATTTGCTATAGCATTGATGTATGTTTTGATATTTATTTATTTTCTCAGTAGTAGCCTGATTTTCCAAAACCCATCTTTCTATCCCCTGATGTCATTAGATAAATCTGCTAAAATAAGATCTTCTAAAACCTCTTTCAAGGCTGAACCTTCATGACTCTGTACCCCTAGATCCCAAACCCTGACTCCAATTAACAGAGATTTAGGAGAAATTATCCAGTCTTTATAAAACTCCACACACAATGCTACTGTTGTCCTATTAGCACTGAAAAAAAGCAAAATTAGACACACAGGGGCAAGTGTTTTGTGCAGTGGTTGAGATAGCTGCATCCTATAAGTAATGCCTGGGTTTGTGTTCCATGCCTGCTTCCAAGTCCAGTTCCTTGCTCATAAGTCCTGAGAGACATCAGTTGTTGATCAAGTATCTAAAGTCCTGCTATTCATGCAGCCAAATTGCAATAGGTCTGGCTGTTGCAGGCATTTGGGATATTAAATCAGTGAATGGAAGACATCTCTGTCTGTCCCTCTATGTCTCTCTGCATTTCAAATTACTTAAGAGATGCATAGACAGAAGGATATTAGTGAGCAGCATGTAGATACTGAGGACATGAATTCAAATTTGCAAGAGAAGTTGTTTATATTGATATATATATCAATGACTTGAAGTAGGTAAACATCAGTACGCCCCTTGCCAGTGATTACTATTATGAAACAGCCACAATTGCCAAATTAGATGGTGTACTGCCTTGGCCTTCAAACAGAAGGTAAAGAAGATATTGTCAAGTGCAGATGGGCAGCATTTTATCAGATCCAAGTCAGCTACAGAACCACCAGGAGTCCATTTGTCTTCAAGGGGAACATTGTATGGTAGCCACATTTCTGTTTGTGCTAGAAAGCTGCTCAAAGGATCAGAGCAAGAGGGGCTTTGCAATAAAAGTTAGAGAGACAAAAGGCAGGTGCAGCTCTCAACACACCCAAAATTTACTTAGCTCTTTGTGCTACTCTCGCACTCTTTGTCATGGAATAATTTCTAGAAAAGTTTTGTGAAAGTAAAGAGATGATATTTTAAGGCTTGAGCAGCAAATGAATGAACTGGGCAAGGAAAGCATAAAATTTAGCAAGGAAAAAGCTAAAGGGTAACAGGGGAATAATATAAAAGCCCTGGAAAAGAGTGCTTTTTCTTTAGAAAATCTATGTGAAAATTCACACCTATAAAACAGATATACTCTGGATTAATCGTCTCAAAATAAAACAATTTTAAGTCTTCAGCTGGTGACTTCACACTTGACCTTGTTGAACATATGATTCTTGGGAACTTGTCCTCTATCTACATTGCTAGATGAGATAAAAAAGGAAGAATTCGGTGTTCCTTGGAGGTCCCTCTACTTACCTACATTTGTGCTTCATTTCTATCAAATGGCTATAAACTAAGATCTGGAAAGTTCAGGTGATCCAGATGGCATGAGAGTGTGCCAAGAGTAGACAAAGAGTAACTACAGAATTATAGGGTTAGAAGAGACCTTTGAATTCATCAAGCCAATCTGCTGAGAAGGCAGTCTCTTTTTTGACATCCTAAGGGAGGCCTGTGCTTAAATCCTCTAGGTACAGGGACAACAAACAACTCCCTCCCCTGTTCTGCAAACAGAAAATCCTGGCAAGGCCGCATCCTGCCAGTCTGTGAGATGTCTGTCTCTCTCACGAAAGGAGACCAGCCAGCAGTGACTCCTTACCTAAAGCTTCTTAGTTTGTACCTACTAAGGCACTTGACCTCATTCTGTTTTGAATTATAATCATTCATGAGTTATCTCCCTACTGGATCATAAACTTATTGAAAGCCACACACTGTATTTACCCATCCATTTTCACAGACTACACGGTCCTTAAGGAATTGTTTTGAATACGGCAGGCAACTCATACTTCTCCCTCCTTTTTAAATTGCATTATTTTCAAGTTGAGTTTCAGTTTAGTTGTGCAAGAAGAGTAGTAAGATTAGAAATCACATCGTCACAATTCATTTAAATATCTGGAATTTTTAATCTATAAAAAATGGTAGACAGTAAAAAAGTTTCTTGAGTAAATTGATGAGTGGCTAAATCAAGGAATGTCTACTCATAGAGAGTGCTCTCCTCTCTCCTTTGCAGTTAAGGTGGCATGAGTTTTATTTATTTGACCCCGGCTCTGTTGTTACAGCCTAGTATTGCTGAGCTACAGGTATCATCATCACTTTTAATCCAACACTGATGTAACCTGTACTTTTGGTCTTTGTAATCACAACTATGGGGGCATTTCCTAGAAGCGAAGAGCTGCTGGACACTTCTAAGTAAAACAAAACAAGACAAAACAAAGCCCTGCAAATTGGGCAGGCCTCTTCCATGTTGTCAAAGAACAGGAAGGCTCAAGCTACAAGCTCTGTTCTTGACCACTCACCACTCACAATAGCATTGAGCCCTTTTCTAGAATTAAGGGCAGCTCAAGCTTGATGTATGCAATTGATCAAGTGGAGTTATGGTAGAGACATCTAAGATATCAGTAACACGCCAGTAATTTATTATATTGTTCCTTCTACAAGATACTATTACAAAAATACTTTGTGAATAAGTTCCAGGAATATATTGACTTAAACAATATAGAAGGTTTTTTCTTTTTCCTTTCACATAGTAGGCCCAAGACACATAGTTAAGGGCTGATGAATTCTATGCTGTACAGAATATCTCTGTTCCACAAACTCCACAAGGATCCAGCTCTTTCAAGCTTTCTGTTTTGCCATCTTTTCATCATGGCCCTCAAGCACATAGCCCAGAATGGTAGCTTGAATACCCAATACTACACACAGCAAACAGCAAGTTTCTTAAAAAGCAAAGCAGATGTTTCAGTTGTTCTTTGAAGAAGAATCCCAGAAACTATCCAGAGACACTATCATTTATGTCTCATCAACTTAGGCATACAACCACACTTAGCTATAAGAGAGTAGAGTCAAGATCACAGTTTCTATTGTGGAAGAAGCAGAATGGATGCTGAGCAGTGACCAGGAATCCCCACCAGAAAGGCCATTTCTGAGCTCTTTCAATCATATAACTTACATGCTCGAAAGCAAGACACTGCACAATGAAGTTGATCTAGAGTCCAACAGAGCCAGACATCAATGTGACAGTGTTACTTAATGAGCTGTGTGATCTTTGAACCACCTTCTATGATATCAAAAATGGAACAATAACTTCCTTTTATATCCCTGAGGGATGAGTTGAAATAAGAACAGTACCTGATGTGTAATAGATGCTCATTCAATGTGTATTACGATGATGATTTTATTTGCATACAAGGATAAAAGAATGACTCTGCTCCAGGGTTTAGAACAACTTGTGCATGAAGCATTAGCAAAGCTGCTGGTTGCCATGTTTCATGAGCAATTTCACACCCCATCCGTTACCCAGATGTGTTAGAGAAAATGAGCAAGTTCAAAGGACCATCACTTATCCTCAAGTGCCCTTTCCTTTCTGTCCTTCTAGGATGATATTGAACAAGACAGAAGCAATTAATAAATTTCTCAGAGCCTTAAGAGATGATCATTAGAATCAACAGGCCTAAACAAGTAGTCTTACATACAACGATCACCTATTTATCAGGTCAAGAAAACTAATGTAGAAAATCACTGTGGGGAAAGTAATCCCTTTGATATCATTCACTGTTGCACAGCAGGTAGATGGATTAAGAAGTATACCAGGCTTTATTTTACATTGTTTCATGCTAAGTTTCTCTGAACCCCACCCCAACTTACCCCGAGGAAAAAAAAAATTACACCACATTCTTGCTATTGGCTTCTCTCTAGGCAGGAAGTTGTAAAGTGAAATGAGACACTACTCAGAAAGGTCTGAGTTCAGATTCTTCTTGGCCACATAGAAAGGTGACATGCAAAGAAATTTTTCAGGTCTTAGTGTTTCCAACAGTCAAGTGGGGATATCAGTGTCCACAGTCTAGAGCTGTTGTAACAGCTAGTGTATATGTAAGCCAGATGTCCCTTGGTTCACCAGTCCCCTTAGGTTATGCTTTTCTCTAATGTCCACGTGAATCCTGCTTCTCCCAAGTTAGTCTGTTCCACAGAAACTGCCAACTATTGTCTACTCCCAATCATTGCTCATGACTCCTAAATCTGACACCCAGTGTATCTCTCCCTTTGGTCTAAGTAAGCTGCAGTATAGGGAAAAATCTGAGAAGGAGAGAGCCATGAGAATTTTGCAGAAGCAGTAGGCTTAAACCTTAAAAGGTAATCTTCAACTGAGGTTGAAGATAGCCCTAACTCTATATTTAACTGAAGCTGAAGATAATGGAGAACTTGATTATGTCCTGGATCAAGAGGAAAAGAAGTGTAGAATTGTGAAAAATGATTGCCAGATTTTGAGTTCAGGGAAGCAAGAGAATAATGGCACTGTCATGGGCAAATGCAGAGGAGAATTTGATTTGATTTGATTTTACGTTGGCTGAAGATGAAGACAGAAAAGGTGGATTTGGTTTTAGAGATATTGAATCATAGTGGAAAGTTCAAAAGATGATCCCTTAGGAGACTGCTTCAAAGCTCTCAGAGAAGCACACAAAACAGGCTTGCCAGTCTGCCAGTACAGGTGATCACTCAAGACTGATGCTTGCAAGATTAAATTTATAAATCACTTTTACATGAAAAGGAAGAAAATTGCCATTTTAGAATCTCAAGATGGCTAAGCACCATCTCCCTCAA